AGCATGGTGGAGGTTCCTTGCAAGTCTGGGGCTGCATTTCTGCCAATGGAGTTGGAGATTTGGTCAGGATCAATGGTGTCCTTAATGCTGAGATATACAAACAGATACTTATCCATCCTGCCATACCATCAGGGAGGAGTGTGATTGGCTCCAAACGTATTCTGCAGCAGAACAAGGACCCCAAACATTCAGCTAATGTCATTAAGAGCTATCTTCAGTGTAAACAAGAACAAGGGGTCCTGGAAGTGATGGTTTGGCCCCCACAGAGCCCTGATCTCAACATCATCGAGTCTGCCTGGGATTACATGAAGAGACAGAAGGATTTGAGGCAGCCGACATCCACAGAAGATGGTTAGGTCTCCAGGATGTTTGGAATAACCTACCTGCCAAGCTCCTTCAAAAACTGTGTGCAAGTGTACCTAAAATAATTGATGCTGCTTGTGAATAAGAAAGGGTTAAATAAAACTGTAAAAAGAAATTGATCCAACGACGTAATCCAGGATCAATCACATTGTGAACGCAGACTCGTAGAAATAAAAAAAAACCCACGATGGCCACCAACCTGACGGTCTCCCACCACAGAATAAAGATTCTGACAAAATATAAACAACTGGGCAGAGCTAGCGGTGACATCACCGCTAGCTCCGCCCAACAATTTACATTTGGCCGGAACCTGCCAGAGTCTTCTTGCCGGTACTGGACAAATAAAAACAACTTGGCGGAGCCGGCCGTGATTGTGACAGCATTTTTTCACACAACAATGATGGACATTGACAATGCTGTGCCTAAAACTTTTGCACAGTACTGTATATAATTGAAAATCAAGCCCTCTAATTGTTATATGGTAATATGCAGATTTTCGCAATGTGTGTCACTACACCATACATGCATTGCTGCGCTGGAGTGTAATTCATCTTGAATGGCACCCCAATGAACCTTCACAATGGTGACATTCAATTTCATGAGGTGAGATATGTTACAGCCCATTAATTTTAAATGGGCTGCCCTAATACAGTGTGTTGTAACACGCCTCAATGTAGTGCATGGGATTGCAGTGTGAGTCAGCCCTCAATATGTTAAAATCTAGAACCAGCCATCATTTTCTTCAGCTGACCAAAAAATACTTTTTTTTTGTCTTGCAAACCATGGCAACAGTAGGTAACCAAGATTTTCCAGAATACTCATCCCCTTGCTCATATAATTGGCTGACTGCCTCTGATGCAGAGCTTGGGGTCAAATTTAGACGGTCCGATATGGTTTCCCTGCCAAAATCCTTAGCATTTACTACACTGGAAATTTCTTAGCATGTTAGCATATTACTAAATCCTTGTACTATACACAGGGGACCTGAAAAGGGTTATTTTTATACTTGGGTTCCACTTTAAAGTAAACCAGCCATTATTGGGCTAATGCAAGAATGTGAATATTCAGTCTTGTACACTGCCTGACCAAAAAATCACAATCTCTAATATTTCGTAGGACCACCTTTAGCTTAGATTACAGCACACATTCCCCATGGCATCATTTCGATAAGCTTATGCAATGTCACAATATTTATTTTCATCCAGAGTTACATTCATTTTTCCCCAAGATCTTGTAGTGATGATGGGAGAGTCGGACCACTGAATAAAGTCTTCTCCAGCACATCCCAAAGATTCTCAATGGAGTTAAGGTCTGTACTCTGTGGTGGCCAATCTATGTGTAAACACGATGTCTCATGTTCCCTGAACCACTCTCACAATCTGAGCCTGATGAATCCTGGCATTGTCATCTTGGAATATGCCCAATGTGCCATCAGGGAAGAAATAATCCATTGATGGAGAAACCTGGTCATTCAGTATATTCAGGCTGGCAGCTGACCTCACTTTTTGGGGACATAACGTTGAAGGCTCTGACCTATTTGCTTAGCTAAATCCTGGTGGTAACTTTTTTTTTGCCCAGGCAGTGTATTTTTCTAAATGTATAGACGTATGTGAAATATTTATATTTGGCTCTTTATGTACCTTTACTCTCTTTGTCTGAACCTGACATTATCTTGAGTGTTAGGGGTTAGAGGTGACCTGTCAACTGCCTGGTCCCACACACTATCTACCAGCTCCTGAGAGTAGGTAACATGATCAAATGACCTGAGAGTAGGTAACATGATCAAATGACAGAGCCATGTAATCATTTACAATTCTCATGGACAATCCTCTATGTACCCTCAGCAGTTGTGACATAAAGAGTGAAGCAGTTGACAGGGTCAAAACTGTCAGGTTCAGGTGGACCCCAGATGCTAAAGATGCTGAATGCAAATGTTTTGCACTTTTTAAAAATAAGTATAGCATATGGTATGTAACATATTTTTAGTGGGCATATACAGTATTTTAAATTATCAGTGCAATATCTACTTTCAAGAAAATGTAATGTTATTTACTTGCTTTCATGCTTTTGTTATTATATTACTCAGGGAAATTTAATAACTAACCATTACAATACTGAGATACAAACTAAACAGGGACTGCATTGTCACACCTGACAGAGTGCAGTAGATTTTAAGGAAAACAATATATGTTTTTTTAAAAGCTATATTTTATATATTTTTTTTTTTACTATCTATATAGCTTTGTTTAAAACAAAAAACAAAAAAAAAACATTTAGTACATGACAATGGATTCCCAGAGCACTAATGATTAGCTTAAGGAGACAGCACAGCAGACACTGCCTAATTTGGGATTTGAGTCCATATTACTAAAAATCGGACTACGTTGCTTGGTAAGAGAGGAGTCACTGCAGTAGGTCACTGCTCTGATTCACTTGTTTTAATTCTTAATAACAATTAATTTTTCAGATTGTGAGCTAGCAGAGAGGGTGGAGAGGGAAGAGTGTTTGTTGTGAGATTCAACTACACATACAATTCACAGCACAGTAGTCCCATGCAAATTGACTACATATAGAACATACAAAAAATAAAGACAGTTGACACAAAAAACTATATTGCATTTAACACAATAGTGCTGTTATCATTTAAGGATGACACAATGCCATGTGCTTGTAAAAATCATCTTTGTTCTTTGTACCTGCAGTGCGGTTGGCAAGGCAGAAAACATTACCAGTTGGGTGTCATCTCCTGGCTAGTACAGACATCTTTTAAGACCCATCAGTGGTCTTGCTTTGCACTTCCACGGAAAAGGTAAAAGTGTCTGTGTTTTGTCTTATGTTGGCCAAGCTGAAGAAAACACTGCGGTGGGGCCTGGCTCATTGCCACAATGACAAGCATATCTATGAGAGATGTACTTGTATATGATGGCTGTAAATATGGTACATCTATGTTGACTGCTCTTAATCTGCTATTATAGACACTGGCCCAAGAATACCTCACATTACATGCAATACTCCCAGTGATATATTGCTTTAAAGCTCTCTAGTAATTGGTGGCCAAAAAAACCAGTAATGCTCATTAAAACTGGCATTAGCAGGCATCTATGCTAATCAATTTTAAAATGCCTCTGCCCACGGAACATTACATATATTTTGATCATACTCTTAATCAACTATAAAAAGTCCTTTTATGAGGTGACACATGACATTTGGGCCTACCATCTGCCAGGAATAATGTGGCACAGATTTGGCACCTTTCCATGCCTTTAAATAGACACTTGCTTTATTTTTTTGTGAACCTAGCTATGTGGATAACTTACTATGGCAGCGCAAAGAACTACCAGGGGGTCTTTGATGTTTCACATAAACGAGACACTAAATAAAGTTCTGTTAGTAATGAGGATAAAAGAGAAGAGTCTGGTTCCTAAGACTGTGTCACCTGCTGTTACCACTTCAAAGAAAATAAACAACATCAATTCCCTTTCCATATATGTTGAGTTAGCATCTTACATGAAATCTGTGTTTCACACAGAGACATGAAATCAGAAGCTATAAAAAGGAGAAATTAGTATATTCCTTTTCATATCTCTGCTTCTAGGTATATTATTTAAAGTGACACTAAACTCAGGAGTAAAATCTTTAAAAATGCATTCAAGTACCTTAACATACAGTAAGTTTAAAGCACACCTATACCCATCACTTTTTGGGGCTTTGGATAAAGTAGGGAAGGCTTAGAACTGCTAGGTTTTCATTGCTGCCTTTGTTCCCATTGGAGAGACAATTGGGATTTAACTGTGTAAGCCATTAATGTGACACTAAACTCAAGAGTTAAATATTGAAGTACCTTAACTATTAACAAAAATGTATCTTATTTGTGTATCACTCGTCTGTAAATCCTCAAATCATCTCTGAATTGGTGCTGCCACTGTCCTTCCTTCTGGAGGGTGGCTACTTTTCTTCCCCATGGTCTCTGTGTGTTGTAAAGTAGCCAGCTGCAGCTTTTTTGTTTTAAAAGAATTAAAAAGTGGACCAGGTTTCTAGCCGTCCTCCATTCTAAAAAAAATATATTTTTATTTCTGTTTGTACCCTGGAAAGCACTAAAAAGCCTTACTTACTCTACCCTAAAAAAATTGGGTTTTGGGTAATTCTAAGGGTTAGCTTAAGGGTAAACTGAGGGTCAAGTTAAGCATTATAGTATAAGAATCAGGTTAAGTCTTAAATGCCAGGGTTGTGTTTAAGTTTGAACTAGAGGTTAAAACACATTTTAGGTTTCAAGTGAGGAAAGTGTGTTTGGGTAAGCTTAAAAGGTTAGGTTAAGGATAGGGATCAGGGTATCTGACTGAACTTGTTTATGGAGTAGAAAGCCACATTCCAGGAATAACCAGAAACTAGAATCAAATATTCCATGGTAACTGTGAGTGTTCTTGAGTATTTTATAAGTGATAACAGAAATCAACTTTTAATATTACCAGTACTTTCATTAAACACATAAGGGAAATTTATCAAAATTGAAGCAGACAGAATCTGGAGCAGTTGGAGAAGCTGATTGGTTGTAGTGCAAATCTGCTCCGGATTTTGTCTACTCCAGTTTAAAAAAATTCTCCCCATTGTGTAGAACATTAGGCTATGCAGTAACATACCTGTCCATCAGTGCCAATTGTTCCGCCACATTCAGTCAGTAGTTCAGACATGTCATAATAGCTGGTAAACTCCCACAGACAGGCCTCCAGGTTCAGATTGCGGTAGAAACGCAGTGTGTTGGCGCCGCGGAGCTGTGTGCTGTACTGGTAAGGAGACGTCTCACCTATCACATTGGGATTCTTGGTGGCATTGGTTAAAAATCCATAATGAGTCCTCACTTCATTGTGGTCTAGAAGATTGGAACATTTATGATTTCCAACCCGAGTACCATCGGGGCTGAGTGTGAGCTCAAAGTTGGACATTTCTCTTGTTGATACAACTGGCAACATGCCTAGGATGGAAGAATATATCTACAGTAAATAACATATTCCATTAGTTACATTATCAACATAACTAACAACATACTGTAACTATCAGGTTCAAAGTAACCTAAACAAGGTTGTTTCGGTTCAAACTAACCGAAACAAAACTATTTAGCATTCAGTGTATGTCTACATCCTTCCTTTGTAATTAGAGGTATGAAACAGAATAAAAAATGTACAGTCATTTCTTTGTAAAGGTAGGGCTTGTATGAGAAAGTAATAGGAACCTTGATTTACTGTTGTCCTGCATTAGCACAGCAAACCTACAATGCAAAAAGAATAAATAAGTGGAAGTCTAGACATAAGGTTTTGGTTTTGGCATTGTGCTATTGGGGGGAAAGAGAAGGTAAATGAAGATCTGCAATTTAAAGAACTCCAGGATTCTTTTAAATTATTCATGGCAGTGGGGCTACCGCTGCACTGCAAGTGTCAAGTGCTTATTTCAGTGTAGGGACAAAAATAAAGACAATATACTCACCTGATCCTCAGTCCTGCATGCCTGCTGGACTACTAACTGCGGCACCTCCTTCCCCCCGGGCTCCGGCAGTCTAAGGACCCGTGACATCATTAGGTCTAATGCAGGTCCATTAGATGCATAGGTGTGCGCAGCATATTGTATTTGGGTGTACACCATGGCCGCCCAAGCTGGGGGGCGACTCATTTGCAGTTAGTGTATAATTTTTTACTGTATATGTACATGCACACACTAATATAGAAACATATGTTCTCCCTTCCACTCTACCATGCTATCTCTCCTGATTGCCTAACACTCTCTCCATCTTCCCATGCTTTCTCCCTGTCCTCATGCTCCATCCCTCTTTCGCAAGCTCTATCTTTCCCTCTCCCATCATCTCTCCCAATTCCCCTGAGCTCTCTCATCTACACCTATGCTCTCTCTCCCTCTTACTCATGCTTTACCCCCCCCTTACCCCAACCTCCCCCCCACCTCTTCCCCCAGCCTCCCCTCTCTGTTCCTCCACCCTCCCTCCTCCCCCTGCCTCTCTCCCTCTTTGTATCAGGAGGGTGCGGGGATATGGGATAACGTCATATGCCCACTATCTCGCTGATGATGCTACAAGCCCGGAACATCCTATGGGGAAGCCTGGCAAAAATACGGAAAGGGATGAGAGCTGTAGCACTGTGCTTGGGCTGGTGCCACTTTGGAATGGTGCTGGCCCTGTGCAAATAGGTGTGATTGTAACATAGAATGAATGATATTTCTTCATTTGAAATATTCGGTGAAATATTAGCTGTGTCTTACCATCAATGTGAGGTAGAGTAATAGTGACTTTAATTAGATTTGGATGGTCTGGGTCATCCGGTCCTGTATACCGCATTTTAGCAGAAAATGGTTCTGCTCCCACCACTCCCGACACTCTAGGCTGGCAAAGACCTGATTGAAGAGAAACGACATTCCGAGATCATTTAGCCGTACCAGACTGACATCTAAACTGTCCATAGACCCCAAAGGCAGTCAATTGAGTGAAAACTTCTAACACAATAACACATTATGTTCGATAGGTGCATAAACATCAACAATAATATTGATTATAATATCATGTGCATGCATTTAATAAATGTACATGGCATCATCCTTGCCTAACACAATATAAAAAATCATGCCAAATATCTAACTGCTCAATTTTTTTATTATCCCAAAAAGTGATCTACTCGGGATACGAAGAGGCACATATAGCAATTATTGTTCCAGTCTTCCCATCCCAGAAACAATCATCTCGAGTCTCTGTAAAAAAAACATTCTAATAAGCTGTACAAATAATTAGGTATTGCAGCAGAGCTCACCCTCATCCGTGCTTATTGTCACAATAGGGCTCAGAAGTTCCAGACCTTCATGTCCATCAGAGTTGACTGCACGCGCTGCACACTGCACCCGAGACCCGGCATGGAAGTATATAGAATCCAGAGTGATCATTTTTGAGGATGTGAAGAATGTGTCGAAGTCCACCTCTCTCATAGGACTGGTTACTCCATCCAGACCCTTGGGGGCACTAACCAGCCAGCGGTAACGGGTCAGTGTGTCATTAATATTTTCACTGGTGCATAGAGAACCAGTTTTATCATAGTCTGAGTATTTCGCGTTACAGGCCTGTAAGAAAGAGAACACGTTCAAAGATGTAAAAGACACGAAAGAGAATAGTGCACCAAAAACATCCAGGACTATACATATATTCAACATGTGTAGCCTTCAGTACAAAGAGGTCACTTTTACAGTAGGAAATAAACCTTATAAAATGTGCTGTTTGATTTCAACTTTTTGAGGAGATTTATTAATTAAAGCAGTTGTCAGACTATATACATCAAGAGCGGACTGTAAGCATAATGTTAATGAGCTCCTAGTTTCTAATTTAATTGACCCAAAATACCTTTTTGCAGTTTTAAAAAGAATCCAGTCACTCCTTACTGCTGGTGACAACTCTGTATACATTGAGAGTTCTTCTGTACTAAATTGTTCCTTAGATCCAAGTACTCCAGGGGCAAAGGAAAAAATAAATGGGACATGTGTGGGCAGATCTCTCACCAAGAATAACAGACAATAATAGATTGGCATATTGTGCACCAGCATTTTCCAACATGTCATAAAATGTCCATGTACAATCATATGTATGTTATTACTTGATTACAATCGCTGTTCAGATCTTACATACAGCATCATTGCTGCATGCAGCCTTTGGTACTTATCGTGCAGCCGTCGAATCCCAGCAGTCAGTAATAAGAGTAGAAGAACTGATTTGTAAATGGGTGATAGCAGCAATCCCTCTTAGCCTCATGTCTGCAGACTCCACCCAAACTTGTAACATATTTACAGTCTCTGTTCATCATTTGCTCTAGTATGCCTGAAGTCTCTGACAGTCCTCTCTAGCATTACATATAATGAACAGAGGCCCTCTGGTGATGTCAAGGGTTGCAGCTGCAGCCCCCTATGCCTCATAAGTTAGCAACCACTGACTATTTACAAAAAAAATAATTACAATTATGTTCTTTACTTTACATCATTTAATTAAGGAGTATTCAATCATTATATGAAACTCATACATTTTCTGGTAACTGGCCATTTTTTTTTACAGTCATTTGCACTTTAAACAGTAGTCTATATCATCCCACTTTATCTGTCGTCAGTGATTGTTTCAATTCCCAGATTGTTTTCATGTTGTGCATGCCCCTTTTGAAAATAATTCAAGAATATATATCACATTTTCCCAAAACAGATCCACCCATGGTCACACGTTGTTGTTGCTATACTAATAGAAGAGATAATGTTCAGCAAAGTAAGTGCTGATTGAGCAGCACAAACATCCAATCATACGTAAGGCAAAGTACTTTTTCAATTGCTTTGCGCATGACTAGATATTTAAAATTCAAAACTTCACTTTCATAAGTAAACATTCTCTATTGTTTTAATAAGTGAATCCTAATGGTGTATTTCAACAGAACACTGGCAGATTGAAAGTGGGATATCCATTTAAATTATGAACATACTGTCTGGTTTCTCTTAATACATATTAAAAGGAGAAGTATTGGGAGAGTAAAATGTACTCTTTTCTGATGTGCTGATGTGCAACACTGCAGGCTATTTTTTTACAAACAAAGCTAAAACTTTAGTTGGTAAATGCAGCAATATAAAATTATTATCTGCCTCAATAGAAAATAATCACCATTTGTTGTCTCAGACTCCTGTAAATGTCATACATAATACTTACTGTAATGCAGGCAACGGGGTACCCAGCTATAGGGTTGGGGTTGTCTTTGGCTCTAGATGTGTCATCATATATAAAGAGAGAGACAACGTGGGGAACTGAGGGGAACGTCACATCTGCCATGCTGTTCATTTCCTCGATGTACACAATGGCTTTTGCCATCTGAAAATGTTAAATATCACAATGACATCAAATATAGATAAGAAAGGTACCCATCAATATTATATGACTTTATATAACATATAAACAAGTGTTCCGCTTGCACTGTGTGAAAGGTCTACAAATGACCATAATATTTCTTAAAGCCTATGTCCAACCAAAATTTGTTTTTTTGCTTTAGAAAGGGTGGGGAAGGGTTAGAAATTCTGTTGGGTTTTTACCACTTTCCAGGGTTCTGTTAGATAAGTTCCCCTGAGTTCCTTTTTTTGAGGCAACGGTTTTACCAAATAGGAAGTGAGGGAACATCCGCAACAGGGATACAGACAACAAAAAACAGCTGACAGAGGTTCCAACCTTCCACAACTCTACCAAGTAAAGTTTTTTTTATTGTGGTCTGTGTTACTGTTGGAGATTCACCCATACTTCCTATAAAAACCCAAATTGGTTCTAACCTTTCCCACTCTTTTTAGAATTAAAAAAATATGTATTGTCTGGAGTTGCACTTGAGGCAGAATCATTTATAACTGATTTGAATATTCAGTCCTAAATGATCATAAATGCGCAGGCTTCCCTATGATAAATATACATAAATATAAAACATACTCTGTGTGTGGAGGACTCTAGGCCCCGAGAGTTAAAGACCAAATGAAGTCTGACTGCTCTGCCAACTGCTTGAGCTCATGATGATAACACATGCTGTGTCCTTGATGTACATAAAAGTATCACATAACAGAGCCCTGTAGTTAAAATGGAATATAAACCACTACTGGGCTCTATGTCTGATAGTGTTGTGGTTGTTTAGGAGCTGAAAGACTCCGTGTGTTATCAGCATGAATTCAGGCAGCTACTAGGTTAGCCTTAGGGGGCCTCTCACCCCACTCTTAGCTACAGCAATTATCCTAAATAGAAAGTAAATACATTTCATAAGTAAACCTGCAGAATCATAAGGATAAAAGAATAAATGTTCAGACACTTGCATAAGCCCAAAGGTGACCTTTTCTCTTTAAAGCACAACCATTGTCTAAAGAAAAGTCAATGGGCAATATTGCTTTACAGAATAATCAAGTTCATAATGTTAAATTAGCCCCAGGTGTTATACAGCTATGTTTTTGCCAAATTGTTCCTCTATCTATCTATCTATCTATCTATCTATCTATCTAAGTCCAATGGTGGGGGCCACACTCAGATAAGAGCAAAAGCCACCTGGGTGCACTCAAGGCAAGAAGATGCAAACGGTTCAGTGGTAGAAGCACTTGAGGGTCTTACAATATATACAGTATCGAAGTAACACATACATTTATTGGTTGACGTAATGAAAAGGCACTGCTTGTCTTTCTCAAGTCTTGCGAAAAAACAGTAGTGCCTTTACTTATAAAGGAGAAGCAGTGGGCTGTATACAGCACAAGCAGTGTGTATATACAGTATATACTGAATATATACAGTGTGTGTGTGTGTGTGTGTGTGTGTATATATGTAATCTTTATTAGAGAAAGAGAGACCTCAGCTGTACTTTATTTCAATATGAAGCATTTCACAATATATGTGATATGTGTGATTGGTACTAACTATTTCCACGAACACAAACTGAGCAAGAGCCAAGAAGAAAGATCTATTAATAAAGTGTAATAACCTGAATTTCTGCAACCATGTTTTCATCTGGTTTGAGGTGCACAGTAAAGGCTTCTCTCATCTCTCTAACTCCATCATACAGCACTTCAATCTCCACAATATGCTGGGTTTCACCTTCCTTAAACTCAATTTCTAAAAAAAAAAAAAGAAAAAGAAAAATGAAATATCCTAGACCACAAAAACTGCAAATAATTACAACTCACCTGGAAACATTTAGTTAATTGACAGACCTCTTATTTTGGTTATAGGTCAAATGTTTATTATTCAAATTTTTATAGACAGTACAGTAAATTTCCTCTGGTAATTCCATCCCCTCGCTGTATTTACTATTACTTCCTCTCTGGATGTTGAGGGTCAGTACTGTATATTTTCCTGGAAATCCATCCCCTTGTTACTCTTACTGCTTCTCTGGATGTTGAGAGTACAGTGAAGTTCCCCTGGCAATTTCATTCCCTTGTTGCTCTTACTACTACTGCTTCTCTTGATGTTGGAGGTCAGTATAGTGAAGTTCCACTAGTAATACCGCCCCCTTGCTGCACTCACTTTTGCTGCCTCTCTGGATGTTGAGGGACATATATTTCTGATAGCTGGGAACCAGCAATGTGAATATTTTTATAGAAATAATATAACAATTTAGAAATAGAGAAGTTGTAAAGGTGAGTATACTTTTAACACAACCTGCCCCATTAATACCCACCTAAAATAAAATTATTTAAAGTTGAACTTCAGCCAGCAGTTTTTTTCTAGATAGAACTGAAAAATGGAGATCCTCCATATCTTTTGCTTGTGTACCTATTGGGTAAATTTCCTCTTACTTCGTGGCAACAGGAAGTGAGAGAAAATCCCTCCAAAGCGAAGAGAAATCGCAAAAGGACAAGTGTTTCCACTGAGAGATTTACTATTATGGAGATAACTATTAATAGTGGGATTTGCCCTCACATTCTGTCCTTCTGAAACTGTCATCAGGAGAGAATGTAAAGCAAATTTCCACAAAAGAGGCACAGACATCCATAAAAACCTGACAGAGATTGTAATTCTTGCTCATTGTATCCATATCGAAAAACAAGAGTATAGGCTGGATGTCCACCATAACATACGTTGTGTGTGAATGCCTCTTAATGCAAAATGTATAAATATTCGCATTATTATTTTTTCATCCCATAAAAAAAAAATATTTTTTACAATTAAACATTATTTTCCAAAACTGTCTGTTTACAAGTTGTAAAATAAGTTTACGTGAAAATATTCTCTAAACACAAACCTATTTCCTAATGTCATTTCGTTTATATGTTTTGTTAAATTCTTTCTAGCTGTTTAGTGGGAGTTGTTCAAACACACCAAGGATCCTAAACCTGTATCAATAAGATTATATGTAAATATTGGGATTTCCGACAAAGAAATCCCTTCTTTAAGAATGACTTCACAAGGTCAGCAGGCTTTGTTTGGACAAGCTCCTACACAATAGGAGATTTAATTTTTGACTCAAGTCAGGCCATCGTCTGAAAGAGAAATGTTAGGTTGGTGTTTTTCTTCCAAATTCTGCCACTTTATTATTTTAAAATAAAATTCTATTCTTGTTGCTTGTTTTTAAGGAACTGCTTTAAAACAAACTACAAACACACTTAGATATTGCAGCTTTTAACAATTTGAATTAATATTAAGTCAGTTCTTTTTAAACTCTGCAGGGTCAGCAAAATTACTTAAGTTGTTATACATACAAATAATTTAAAAAGCATAAACAGTGACTAGAGAGTAAGTGCTATTACTATCTATTGAAAGATTAAAGGCCATCAAACCAACCAATAAACATTTCCAAACTAATACCGAAAACAAACTAAATTTGGAGGTAATAATTGGCATACTTTGTCCAACTCAGGTAAAACTGAACTCCACAACTGAAATACATATTTTTGAACTGTCTTACTATCAATGCATTGATAATTTAGTCAGGAACCCCCTGCAGGGTTACCACAGACTACACTGCAGTCAAGCAATACAGCCTGGTCCAGGAACCACCGCAGCCTGTGAATGGACAACGAGCACACTGGTGAGGTTTTCCGGCTCTTCTGTCTTGTAACACAGTACTGTGCAAAGCAATAGAGCCTTGACCAGGTGCTGACCCCTAGTTGATGCTGAATGCCCTCCAGTCAGGAAAAGAGGTAAGCTCTATTTGACTTTCTGCAGCTTCCAATTCACACTGAAGCTCACAGTGTGCAGTTATATCAGAGTAAGCAATTTCAGAACAGGAGAGAAGCCTGTGCAAGATTGAATGTAAAGATGGTGTTCAGCTTTAAGGTACTTATCCTAGCTAGTTCTATGTAACAAAAAATTTATTAATTTTCTCGTGAAATCATAACTGGATTAAATGTTGTCTTTTTAAATATCTGCCTGGAATTCACCTTTGTATCAAAATCAAAATCTTTAAATTACGTCAGCAAACAGATCACAATTGTTCCTTATGTCCCTGCTCTACATTCCTAAACTATCTGTGCATTGTTACCATACCACATGCATTCACTTGTTGCATCAGGGCATCAGTAAGCTCGTCACAGACAAATACCAACATGTTGCTATGTGGGTGAGGAATTGATCAGCAGTCTATAAGCAGAATGGAGTGTACCTTCTGACACGGGGTTATAATCTTCTCCAGAGGTAGCAGAGCCATCCTTTGTGTGAACACGCACAATGGAGACCTTTGAAGTGTCTCCAAGACGAACAACTGGAATTTTTACAACTATGATTTGTCCGGGTTCCTTTGGTTCACTCACACTAAACTTAGTGTCTCCAAACTTTATGATTGCCTCTGAAAAATAGAACATTTATGAGTTAACATAGCTATTATCTGCATTCTCAAAGTACCATTTTATGAGTTTCTTATGGTCTTACTGTCTGCGTCATCTTTAATCTTGATCAAAGTCTCGTTGAGTTCACCAATGGACGCTCCAAAGGGGGAATCACTTTTTGGTGTGCCTAGAACCAGTCGCAGCTCTTCCTCCTCCTCATGGATGGAATCGTCCACAAGCACAACAGAGCAAGGCCGTTCTGTTTCTCCTATAAACATGCAAAAATTAAACAATTTTAACAAGAGTAGTAGCATGGTGTGTATTATCTAACTAAACATTTAGTTTATAATAGAAAAAATAAAATACCTACTGCTAGTCAAACACATAACAATTTAAACCACTTAACTAGCTTTAACACAGAGGTAATTTATTTGTAGATGGCCCATGCCAAATTTAGCAGTCTCAGCATGAATCAGTTAACTTAATTGAACCTCTATGACTTATTTGAATATCTAATTAATATAAGAATTTTATTTGCTACAATGTTTTGATTAAAAAAACAAACCCGGTCCGGGAAGTGCCCTGAAGCGAACTGAGGCTTCAGTGATAGTATACGACTAGACAATAGCCCCCCTAAGAGTAGTGACCGGCATGGTATGATAGCGTACAATAACTAAAGTAAGAGTGGCAACCAGCTTGGGAATAATAAGGAATGTTGGAATGTTTAAGTTTGATATTTCTGGTACAATTGTTGGGGTTATTATAAGTAGCCTCATACTGTGTAAATTTTATGCTGTGAAAAAAAGGCCGAACCCCTCAGGTGCATGGCTGAGAAAACAGAATAAAGTTTGTTAAAAAAAAACAAAAAAAACCCCTACTTTGATTTTTATTATAGGTTAACAAATGCACAAAAATGCAATGCAGTGTCGGTTGCATGTTTTCAATGGAAGACATTGATTAATGTACCATCGGCACAGGCCATTGTAGAGGGGAATATTTATAGATTGTAGGCTACAAAGGGTTCATTTGAAACTGTGACCAGTTTAAAGCATCCTACCATAAGCAGTTTCAATTATTTCATGGAAACTATAAGTGATAGGTTGAGAAAATCCATTTGATTGTTTTTCAGCCTGAAAACTGCTGTATGCTCCATGCAATTTTAAAAATCTCCCATCTAATTTGGGCCTAAAAGCTGCCAAGTTAGACACAGCATATGCTCATTTTTTTTTAGAAAAAACTGTTTTCATCTTAGATGCGTTTGAGATATTTTTGAGATACATTCCCATAGGTGTTTAGAGAAATATAAAGCAGAACACGACATAAAAACACAACACATGGCAAAAGCAGCAATAAATACAATGCAACATTGTTCCATAAAATCCACGTAAAAATTCAAACCTGCTTTCTAGATGCTTAAAAATGCAGGAAAACACAAACCATAATGCTAATCACACACCTGCCAATTCCTATGACTTTCTTTCACCTTTCATTTACACCAATTTTCTTCCTCCAGTTTAAATCAAGTCCATGTCATTGGTGACCACATGATTAAAACTGCCAAGGGCTGACTACTAGATTCCACCCATAACTAAATCACATTTGGGTGGACCGATCCTTCAATATAAAACAAAGCTGCTGCGGGCCAGTTTTCACAATGGCATTACTCTAGGATAGACGGTGATCTTAAGATATGAAAGGTATTACTATTTTATCTTGTTTTGGACCTAACACATTGGACTCGGGTTATAATATCTGTATGCTAAATGATAGTGTATACAATCTTTGACTGTGGCACTATGTATGAATTAATTAATCAATTATTTGTATATATTAGAGCTGATGTAGATTGATAATTTCATCTCCTTTGAAGGTATGCTTGCTTTCATGATGAATTATCTAAACAAAGCATCATAACCTTATTGGATACCAATTTTCACAATACCTGGAAGGAAGGTGATGACTGAGCTATCTGTGTTTGGTCGTTCTTCAAAGTCCATCATCACTTGAGCAGATCCTTGTCGGGTATAACAACGTACTGTAGACTTATAACTGACATCCCCACTTCTGTAGACCATGGCGGTGATCTTCCCATCCTTTTCATTGCCCATGTACATTGGTTCCTTGAACTGCACTTTTGGCACTTTAAACATGAAACATTATTTACATTTAGTAAACTCATATAGAGAATGGTATAATGGTGTTGATTATAGTACATATACTATATTTCCATATATTTTTGAAAACCTGACAATCACACATATATGAGCTTCTTGGACATCCCATTTCAAAACCATGAGCATTGTTATGGTGTCCCCCACTCTTCTAGGAAGGCTTTCCACTAAATTTTGAAGTGTGTCTGTGGGAATATGTGACCATTCAACCAAAAGGGCATTTGCAAGGTCAGGTACTGACGCTGCATGAGAATTCCTGGCTCAAAATTGGTGTTCTCTACATCAATTTTGTCAAACCCTGTCTAATTTTGTATACAGGAGCACAGTCATTTTGAAACAAAAAGGGTCTTTCCCAAACTGTTGCTACAATGTAGGAAGCGCGCAATTGTCTAAAATGACTTTGTATGCTGTAGCATTAACATTACCCACCACCGAAGACACCCGAACCCAGTAATTTGGAGGGCACTCCCCATACTTTTTGCCCATTTAGTATATATTTCATGCCACTGAGCTACCCTCATCTCTGTCTCACCACTTAAAGTACTCCCATTGGGACTAGAAAAGCTTAAATCTGACTGATTGCTTTGACAAAACACATTTCTTCATCAGTATTTTACTGATTTGGAATTTAAAATTTTCAAGAGACAGTTTTTGCTTAGATCAATATACAAGGCTGAAAATGTATAAGTTGTATCTGGGTGAATATGCCTTTTGGCATAGATAATTTACAGACAATATAAAGAAAACAGAAGTACTTACAGTCAGAGACTGTGTCATTAATGAACACTGTAGCTTTGCTGGGCTCCCCAAGGACAGCATGCATTGGCATACGCAGCACAAGTTCAAACTTCTCAATCCCCTCCAGTACTGGCTGTCCTAAGTCATCCAGAATGACTACACGGAACGTCTGCATGTTCACACCTGGTGCAAAATCCAGATTCCGACTGATGCCTACGTAGTCAATGCCAGCTGAAAAAAAAAGATAATCAAATCAGATTGCACAATTGCTATATATAATTAGATAACCTGTACCTTTTTACGTTCTACTGATGTAAATCTTTACAGTAAATAAAAGTTAACAAAAATGTTTTTTTTTAAATTTCAAGTGGACCTGAACTAAAAAAAAGTGATCATCTAAAATAGTAATTGTGCCTAAGCAGTGCCTTACAAATGTACTTTTTACTTGAATTCCTAATGAAAAAGGTATGGGAGTGTGCCTAGGCATTCTTGTGCATACAGCTTCATAGCTGTATATCTGCAGTGTGAGAAAGTGTAAAGGTGCCCATACACTGCACGATTCTCATACGAGAAATTCGGGAAATCCTGCGATCGTACGAGAATCGTGCAGTGTGAATGAAGACATGCGACCGTTTCTACTGTATGGTCGCACGTCTTTTGTCTCAGGAGCATGCAAGAAAACCAGCCGAAAATCTTACGATTTTCGGCTGGTTTGAACGGTGCTCGGGAGACAAATGCCGAACGGGCCGCTGTGCGCAGGCCCATCAGGGGGGCGGGCTTGCGATGATCACAAGTACGATCTGCCTGTCCAAGATGGGCAGATCGTACGTTTTTTTAATTACTTTACAACCATCGCAAGACTAAAGTCTTGCGATGGTTGTAAAGTGCATGGCCACCTTAAGGCACTGCTTCCTGTAACTGCTAGTATCACGAGAACTAGAGTGAGATTTGGTGATGTCTACTTTATCCATTCTCTTGATATGTGCTTTCTGCACCACAAGTTATCAGATCACTAGTTATCGAGGGGCTGCTCTGAAATAAAGAAGCAAAGCCCTGCTCCTCTACTTGGATGGTTAAGATGTCAGGAGTCCACAGGCATTGCTGGTGATGACTAGACCTTTGTCCTCTGTTTACCTCTTTTGGACACAGGTTTTTAAAGCCAAACTCACCCAAAACAGATACTGAACAATGAGTGAATCTACTAGCGATTCTGAAAGTGTGAAGGCAAAATATGGATTGGTGGATTTGTAGGTATGTATTCATACCCGATAACTTGATACATAAGAAATTTAAGTAAGCAGCAAGCGCATAGCAGTTGCTACCTGTTTTGTTATCTTGACCATGCATCAATTTTTTGACATGTAAACATTTCTGCAGATCCCGCCTTGCTTCTGCACCTTTACATTTGTGATCTTGCTTGCAACATTGGGAAATAATTCAATGTTCAGTTCCCAAGTATAATGCTAACCATTGTTGCTCCCAACAGTGAAGGATGAAATAATATCTAGCGAGTACAGATAAAGGGAATATGGCACTGTTACTGTGTTCATGGCTAGAAGTAGGGGAGGGCACTAAGACACTGAGATAATCAACTTACTGAGGCAGCTGCATTTTTAAAAATTAAGCCATGCAAAGAACGGTATTGGTGTGTCAAAACCAGGAACTGACAAATACCAACTAGATTTAATTTTACCAGATCTTTAAAATTTGAATTCTGGGGGGCGTGGCCGACCATGGAGGAGTAAGCACGCACAGATTCGAGCTCTGCCGATCCGGGGCTGCACTTAAGTGAACTTTTTAGCTCAGGACTCACCTTATGCTCTATGCCCGGTGCCCGGACCTCACCCGAGCCTCCTTCTACATCCTGGACCCGAGACATCGCCTCCTACTTCCGCCACCGCCCGAACGAAGCCGCAACACAGGCCGGCCGCAACATGCCGCCGAAAGCCGTCCCGGCTAAGAAGGCCGCGGCTGCGCCCGCCCCCACTGCTACCCAGGGGCTACGCTACTCCACCCGACCCTCGGGACCGAAAGCAGCAGACCCTAGGGCGTCCCCCACACTATCGGGGACACGGCCCTCCTCCCCAATCCCCCTGGACCCGCGGGCACCGGCATTCTCAGCAGGCCCTGACCGC